TTCCAATGCCACCAACCAATTTCATGTAAAAAATATGAAATGAAATAAAATTCGAACTCTTCAACCATTACACGCCATTCAAGAAAAACGCTATATATAATTTTCTAGAATTTTTATGCTTAGCACGTTGGATGTAGAAATTTTTAGTTATATTTATCATTTAGCTAGTTTTTTTATATTTACAAAAACATACACATATACATACGATTATTTATTTCTGTCGAACAGAAATTAAAAAAAAAAAACTTAGTAAAAATACAATACTTTATGTGTATTAATTAATTGCAAAAAAACAAAAAACAAAAACAATTATTTTTAAGCTTAGCAAATGCACTATGAAATTAATCAAACGGCTCCCGAACTATTTTTTAAATGATATATAAACAAACAACATGAAAAGTCAGAGATCAAATAACCGCTGTAATTATTAAACAACAACAAAACAAAAAWAATAATAATAATAAATACAAAACTATTGTAACTTTAGTGAATTTTGTAATGATTACAAAGATAACTGTTTGCTTTATTTGTTGAAAAAGTGTGCTTGTGTGCGAAAAGCGGTTTCGAACAACCATAAATTATTTGAAATGAAAAAAAATTTAAACTTAGTGCCTGAAATTGCAATTTTCTATGTGCTCAGGTCAAACTTGTCTGAGAAAATCGTAAATTGCAAAAACTCAATTGAAATTAGAATGATGTTGCATCACTTTCAAAATTTTTGATACTTCTTATTAAGCTTATACGATGGTTTTGAAATCATTCTTAGCTTCTGATAGCCTGTGTTTTGAATTTTTGAAACATATTTGTTCCGTTCTCTGAGCTTTTTTAGTATGCTTTAGGTTCTTTTACAGAAGTTAGATCGAAAATAAAGTTTTGCAATGCTTTTTGTTGCGTGAATTTGGTTAAGTTAGATGGCTGATCCCCCAAAATGTCTGCAAYTCACATTTTTACTGCTATCTACATCTACTAATCGTATGTGAGACCAGAAAAAGTCATTTGATTGCCTATGAARTCTCAACAAAGCGCCTTGAGACTTGAACCTATCACAAATCTTCTAAATTGCTTTATTTTCACTTCCGGTTTTTGGCCTTTAACTGGCAAAGGATTCCTCATTCATTCGAGTAGGAAGTGTTGATATGATYCTATCTAAGTGTACAGTTRAAACTTCTGTAATTATTAAACTCTGAACTTTGCTGAGAGCGAAGAGCTCAATAAATCTCTTACAGATTACTCAGGGCCAAGAGGGTCTTTTTTTCACTCTTTTTTCGATACCCAACCTTTTTTTTGTTACTCAAGCAATATTTTGTTTTAGAAACATCTAGATTCTACTTTTATGGCGAAGAAGAATGCTCGGGATGTTTTTATAAAATAAAGTTCATTTGAGCGAAGTGTGGAGTGTTTCCTAGAACTGAGTATGAGCTCTTTTTTCAATTTTTATTGCCACTTAGCTGGATCCGAGCTCGTTTTTTTCATTTTTATTGCCATTTAATGTKTYTGTTGTTCTTGTAGCAGCAGAAARCATTTCTAAAGTARTTTCCTGAAATGGTGCWACGTTGACAGTGCTTGGCCGCTTAAAAATACAGGTCCAATTCCTGTTACATCGACCAGGCTGTGGTATGAAATTTATTSTCATTTAGGGTTCCTTGAACTAACTGCTTGGAATGTAGAACGAATTCGACCAGTTTCTTTGAGTCTATTATGATTGGTGATTATTCAGGTTCTTGAATTCTTCAATTTTTTTTTAACTTACTGTTAGTAATTTTGCCGTGTTACGCAGTTTAGTGTGAGTTTTACATTTATTTTTTTGCACTCGGTAGAAGAGACTGTAGTGTATGATGGAAATACTAACATGATGGAAATACTACTAACTCTAGTTGCGACACAAGCCCGCAAAATGGGGCTGTCAGATCGAGAAGACTGTAGGAAATGTCTAGAACAGGGCACCAAGGAAACTATGGGGCATCTCTTGAGCGCTTGCCCCATATTGGCAAAGACTACGCTGTATGCATCCGTGGTCCCCACAGTATGATACCCTAGAGGGGGTATCGACGGTAAGCCGCAAAGGCTGTTAAAATTCCCGTCAAGCTCAGGCATCCTAAACGATCTTGGACTTAGCAAGTGAACTCCATCTGGTATCGTAAAGGAACAAACTGGTCTATGCGTGGCTTCTGGGCCTACCAGATTGAAGCTAACCTGACCTTGCATTACTATTTCTATGCGATTCTTGAGCTCAATTCTGAAGCATTCCTCGATAGACCACTATCTTTAGCGATGTAAATGCTGCTCACACATTATTAGTGGCTGTTTCAAAGCTCTGTTCGGAAGAGTACTGGAACGAATAAATTGCCTCAGAATGCTGACTTACCTGGTTCGCTTTGTTGTAATGTCTGAAAAATGTCATACTCGTGGATTAAAGCATCTTTACTATTTAKTTTTC